TGCAGGTTCAAGAAGGCAGCTCTGGCCTATGCAATGCGTGAGCTGACGTCAGTTTCTATGCGCCCATCGTTGCTGATGCAGCTGCCAAGATAAGTGAATTGATCAACCACCTCGAGTTCGTCGTTAGCAAGCGTCAAGGGATTATCAAATGGCTCGTGGTACTGCGGCAGCACTTTGCACTTTGAAGGTGCGAAGTGCATACCAAATAATGGGCCCATTCTAGACTGGCTATTCAGGGTTGATAGTGCAGCCGCAACATGGTCGAGAAGCAAGACGATATCGTCCGCATAATCTAGATCAACTAACCTTTCACCAGGCAGCACTTCAACGCCTATATCGTGAGATTTCACAAAGGAACACTCTACGACGAAATTGAACAAAAATGGGGAAATCGATCCACCTTGACGAACTCCACTTGTGGTCGGAAAGCTATCCGACTGGTCACGGTAGACCCTGACGCGGCCTGTAGTGTTCGAGTATAGAGCAGGAAGCATGTTCACATATTTCGTGGGAACACTTTTCCGCACAAGTATTTCGAAGAGAACCGATCGATCGACTGGCTCGAACGCACTTTTGAAATCGAGGAACATAGCTATTGTCGGTCTGTGGTATGCGTGACGCTGCTCTAGCACCTGCCGCAAGGTGAATATATGGTCTATACAGCCACGTCCTGGTCGGACACCGGTCTGCTCTTCCCCAATCCGAGATTCCCATTCCACAGCGAAGCGACAATTGAGACTTGAGACCAGTAATTTTGTCACAACCGGCGTTAGGCTAATACCCCTGTGGTTCGCACAGTCTGTTCGACTGCGCTTCTCGTATATTGCCATTACAATCGATTTGCTCCAATTAGCCGGCACACTCTCTTCGTTCCAGATATGTTCGAATAGGGAGGTCAGTGCTTTGCAGAAGACCTCACCTCCATCCTTAAATAGTGCAGGTGGGAGGGAATCCGGGCCAGCGGCAAGAAAACGAATGAGGGTTGTGACCGCGTTTTGGTCCTCGGCCTCCGACGGAGGCTCTAAACTAACCATCCATGGCTCGTCCTGCATCATCTGAGTAGGAAGAGGTCCGGGAGCAGGGGGCCAGCTGAACTGATCTTCAAGGTGTTCAGCCCAACGAGCCATCCGGCGCTCCTTATTGTGTATCAGCGCACCCGCGCTGTCTCTGATTGTCTCACTGACGCCTGGTTTTCTGGGACCAGTGGTGCGGGTTAGCTGGAAGAGCTTGAGGTAATCGCCTACTGCTCCTTCCTCCTCCATTTCTTGAACCCGACTGGTCCATTAACCGGAACCAGTGGAAGAATTGTGTACATATCTTAGTTGCTTCACATGGTTAATACTTTAAACATTGAAAATGACAAAAAAGTGAAAAATGGCGTGTGGAAAGCAAACTAGAAATCTATTGCTCTATTTTTGCCAAAATTTGCTTTCTTTTTTCGGCTCAGTAGCTGAAGTGCGTTCCTCACCTTCACCTACTGCCACGACAATTTTGACGTGGGGACTCTGCTCCTTATCTGCTAATCTCCATGCTTTTTGTTGGTTCTATATCTATTTCCTACTACTATTACTACTCCTACTACTACCACTACTACTGCTACTACTACTACTACTAATAATAATAATAATAATCATCCTCATCATCATCAAAATTACTAGTAATAAGAATGATACTATCCTCGGAGCCCACACGGCGTTATCTCTTTGAAGTGGTTATCTATACAAAGAATGAAGAAATGCAGCTACTGTTTTGATGGGTGATGACAGGGTAATCACCGAATTCGTATCTTACAGGCGGGTTTCGAATAAACAGCAAATATGTTTCGATAGGGTCTTTGGTGTTTGGGCAAGGGCTGCCCGTTGGGCAGTCTACAATAAAATGCATGTGTAGAGGCATGTCAGTCTTAGCGAGGCTCGGGGCTTGTCAGGTACACCGGAGCGACGCCGCGCGATTATATGAGTCGAAAGTAGTAAGCAAGCGACTCCGGAAGCAAGTTTGAAGAGTGCCAAGAATTCTTATGCTGAAAACAAGGAGTAGAAAAGTCGTTAGAACGGGATGATAAGGATTAAAAAGTGCAAGAGGGGAAATGAGGAGACTAGAACTGTGAGCATAGGCATTTTCATCCCTATCCATCCAGCTCGATACAGAAGGTGGGGCCCTTGAATTATCCTCTACGACGACCATAGCATCGAGAAATTGCTTGAAAAATCATTGCATTACTTGGCTGTTTAGCGCTACACCAACACCTGCGCAGCATGTTGCGGCTGATCTCGTGTCATTAACTAGAGGTGGGTGGAACACTGCTCCGTGAGCAGTATGTGATGCTAACTGAACCACATCGCTGTGTTCTTGCACCCGGATTTCAGAAGTACTGCGAGCGTATCGTTTACAATGCGGCCATCCGTTCAATTCTCCTTAAGGTTTCGAAAACTGGCCACTCAAGTCGACAGACATAGAGGCTTATTACCTTCAACCATCGCTGTCTTCGCAACACAGCTCACGTCTAGTAGGAAAATTGCGTGAACAATGTGTGCGTTGAATGTCGCGTATTTGGTGGAGAAAGTGCGCCTGAAGCACTCAGCATCGTTATATCACGCAACAGGCTCCGATGGCTGGGTCACGTGTTGCGCATGCCAGCACACCGGCTTACGCATCGTGCGCTGTTCGCGCGATCTGGGTGTGCATGAAAAGTGGGGAGGCGAAGCGATGACTTGGTCGAAACGTATGAAAACTCACTTCGAAGTTAGCCTGAATTGATCGCTTCGGACTGCCTGGCTGGTGTCCGACGGACCATGAACACGTCTGGTTGGATATACTAGTTGACATGGCGAAGAGCCGACCTCATTCGCGTTTCTGTTTTTCATTTCCTAATCCCTGCCTCATGTTTTGCTTCCCCGTTCAACAACGATTTCATACCCATTGCATGATATGACATATAGCACTATACTACTTTTCATTTTTTGTAGTCTGTTCTGTTTATTATTCGTTGTATTGCGGCACATTAGCTAAAGTCTCTTACTCGCTTGCGGGTGTTGATGATGATATGTTGGTTAGTCTCAACTCGAACACAGAGCATCTCCAAATAGCAAAGATCGCAAAATGACCTTCACAAACCCTACTAAGTTGTTTTCTCTTGCCATTGTATTTCGCTTTTGTCTTCTTTTTCTTCCTTGGTTCCAGTCGCACAATGTTTGTATTGATCTGCCACTTCATTAGTAATATTACACTTAGCTTATTTTTTTGTTTTGTGTCCTGTAATGTTTAGTATCTCGCTTGCTCATATTTTGTGGTATGTATTGCTGCACAGTTAGCTGTAGTGTGTTTCTCACCGTCAACTAATGTGTATTACATTAGTCCGTCTGAGCTGGCAGGCCTGAATCGCTCCACCTGTTGTCTCTCAAGACTGCCTACAACTTCGTTGGGTGAGTTGTTGGCTAAGATGAGAGCAGTCTGGGCAGATACTGGGTACACTGTGCCCACGGGTGAACGGCGGGAACCCTTTTGACTGCGAGCAAATGTACTCAGTCCAGCTGTTTAAAGGCCTCCACTGCCTAATACTCCGCAACGCATTCGCTCTGCAACTGACCTCACACTAAGCTTCCTGTGGCCGGTAAGTCGAGTAAGTTGTAGAAGCTTAGAAATTGTCAGATATAGCAGGGTCTACAAGATTCGCGACCATTATGCATGCCTTGCTTGAGCCACTGATTGGCAGAACGGCACCGTTCATTGTAATCTGATTTCGCAGTCAAAACTCTAGAGCGAAACCGGAGATCCAGGCCTTCAAGGGGATAAACTCAACCTTATTTGGTTTCCCTGAAGAAATTACAAGCTTCTTTGCAGTAGCTCAATGTTGCTTGATTTCTTGTGATGAATTCCAAGCGATTGCACCTGCCACTGAAAATTAGTAGCTTAATTGCACCGAGAGATCAGCTCACCTGTTCGTATCAACATTGCGGACTAAATTTTCAAAGCCGTCCAAAAACTCATGGAAATATTCGCACAGACCTGCGCCTGAACTGATTCAATAATAGTGGATCAAGATGATCTACGGTCCCGTGCTCCTCCCAGTCATCTGTAGCCGGTTGCATTGTGGTCAACTGGATGAGGCGGAGTGAATTGGGAAATCACGCCTATTTTAAACCATTGACTACTTGCTCAGTCGATGCGCCTTGCGTTTGGTTGCTTACAAAACACGCACCTAATCCTTCCCACACTTTCCTTTTCAGTCATCTGGAATGAGATGTTACATCGGAGTGAAGCAGGGGACAGTGACTGGTGTAGTACAACGAAACCACTGGAGTTAGACCGGCGAGTGGGAAATCAAGACCTGGGAATTCAGGCTTTATTTGTCTATGAACAGAAACAAGGATTGAAAACACAGTTAACAGAATAAGTTTAGTTGCAGTTATAAGTATGCAAAGAGGAATAATACACATGCTATCCAATCGAGGGTTGGACAGAATCATGTAGTAAGCATGAGGCAGAAGAGAGGGAATTGTTTGAACAGAAATTCATTGGGACGCTAGAGGTGAAATGGGACATAATTATTGAATATTCGTAACTCTTGGGTATTCCACCCAAAAGAAGAAAGAAATTGAAACAAGTATTCTGACATGTCCTTCGAATTTAAAGACTTTACCGTGACATAGCCTCTCGATACTGACCTCACGTCATTCCACTTTCTTTCTCGTGGCATTCTGCTGCACCACAGTACTTCTGGGACAGTATGCTAACACTAACTCCCAAATCCAGCTGATGTTTCACAGGCTGTTCTTGAATGAGTAGTGTTGCAAGGATACACGCTTGCCGTTCACGTTCTGCCAGTCGTTGATTGCGAATTCTTGCGACCCTTGTTGACTGTTACTGTTCACTAAATCCATCTTGAATATTCTATACAAGTTCTTTTGTCACTTTCGTGACATTTTATCCTAGCGCAACATCTCACTCCTTTTATTGCCTGAATTGTTTGTTCATCTGTTGTTACTTTGATTTTTCGTTTAGCTACTGCTGTTTCGCTCAGAATCATGGGCCATCATCGAAAGCAGGATAAAGTTAGCGGAGCGAAGCACTCCTTAAATCCGGGTACTTATGTGCAGTTTATACTGACGTGATGTAGACCGTCCCAAACAGCCAAAAGGTAGCACAATGCGTACCAAGGCCACTATCAAGCGATTGAACATGTATCGGAATTTCAAAGCAAAAAGGTTTGTTCGTATTTGTCTGATTTTTACTTCCAGAGATAAAACGGGCAAGATTATTAGACCGGCCCCTTTTCAGTCTACTCTTCCATCTGGCTCAGTATCGCGCGTGGAACCGAACAGGCGATGGTTTGGTTGGAAATAAACCTTTCTTTTCATATTCTTTAGGGAACACTCGAGTGATCAGCCAAGATGCCCTGCAAAAATTTAAAGAGGCCATGAAAACTAAAAATCCCTACGAAATTATATTGCGGCAGACTAAACTTCCAGTATCTCTTTTGGATGAGAAAAAAATCGTGGGTTTCCGTTTTACTAACCTCACTCTCAGAAAACAAAACCGGCCATCCTGTCCTCAGAGTCTTACTCCTATACCTTTGGAAGTAAAGCACAAAGAAAACGCCCCGTTTTACCTTGCGAAGATCTAACCGTATGTTTTTCACAAGTTATCCGCCTTCACTCACCTTCTTTATGCTTTTTTGATACAGTGACTGTTTTTAGTTGTTCGGCTACCTGTTCTCCTAGCTACTTATTGCCTTTGCATGGCGAAGAGTCAGCTTTATTTTCAGTTTGTACCTTCCTCCCTGATCAACTGCACCTTTAGTGATATCTTTATCGTCTGCTCAATGTTGACAAAACTTGCTCTTGCGCCCTTGACTAGACACTGTACTGAGCTGGCGTTAAACTTGCGTACATTCTAGCCACATCATTATTGTTTTTTCACACCTCCCCAGCCCCGTTATGTGTGTCACTTCGATAACTACATTTTGAATGTCCCACTTAGATACAGACGAAAAGCAGCAGGGTGACGATTATTAAGCTTTTCTTATCTGGCCAAGATCTCGATGCGTTTCCTATCTTGGTTCCAATCGGTGCTCTATCCAACCCTTAGTTTTGTCTGACTCTGAACCACCACGCTCAATTCTTACTGTCGCTTGTTGTTTATCTTCCACTAACACAGTCATCATTTCACTTATCCAGTTAGGTTTTAAGCAGTTATTAGTACAACACGTTTCACCATTTCCCATAAAATTATAGCTTAGCCACATCCAATTTGGGCTTCCTAAGATCGCTCCAAGCGGCTACTTCTCCGATTTTTTTTCGTTTATCGCTTCATCTGCTACTAGTACACTTTAAACATGTAGACGAGCCTAAAATTTAGTTATCAACTTGCCACGGCATTTGTATGTGCAGGTTTAGACGAGATTGAGCCGCTAGAAATAATGTTATTATTTCCTATTCCTTTTGCATTCATCTTTTAGTAACCCAAATAGGGGATTGGAAATGGTTTGTTGGACCCAACTCAGGGTTTCTGGTCGCAAACTTGGCTCTGCAAGGTGCCACGTGGATTGTAGTATATCGTCAAACGTAGGGAACTGATCTGGTTTTCGTTTGTTCTCTAAGCTGAGCAATTGTGCTGCAGACGTTTCGTCACCAGCCGAGGTGACATCCTCAGTGCCTCACTGCTTCGCAGTGATCCTGGCGGGGCATTTAAATCGGCCGTTGACTTTTTCACCGAACATCATTTTTATCTTACCTACTGTATATCTCAGTGTTGCAAGAGTACAGCGGCAGGTATTTTTTAAAATCAACTTCCAGGGTCACTGAGACCCTTTACTCCCTCCAACTTGAATATGCGCGCAAGATATCGCACACGATCCCTGGCAGAAAATTCCGTTTTCAATGTATACAAATCCCGAAGGTTTAGTCCAGCTTTTGAGGATCGTTGCTCGCTCGATCCATGACAGTGCATCCTCATTTTTCTATCCATTTGTACACTTAGCATTTTTAATTGTAACCCTTTGGTAAATTCACAATTGATAATGTAAAATGCTGAAAATGCACCCGTTTATGTACATAAAGCTTATATTGACCTGACTTGTATCAGCTGTTCAGTTTTTTCCATCTTCGTTGTCCTGCTTCGTGAGTATTCTTACTCCGTAGGTAGTCCAAACGGGCTTTAATAAGCAGTTTGACCAGGTTAGTTCAGTGAGCGCGTTTCTAATACCTATTCGGTGACTAGCACATGGTGGGTCGCGTACGAGATTAAACTGATTAACAGCACCCTTCTGGCCAACGAATTCACTTCCAGTTGCCAGGTTAGCGGATGACCTCTCGAATGTTAAGCCTTCCTAGATCACTGAAATAAAACCGAAACTTCCTCGGTATGCGATGAGATGGCATGCGTATGTTCTACAGACTTCGTAGTTCCACAAAACGTCGCGCCGGACATTTTTTCCCATCCTCCAAGTGTGCCTGTCATGTTGCCATGGAATACTTACGCTATCGGTGATAACCTTACCAGTTAGCAATTATCAGCGAAAACGTATCAGTTGGCAATTATTAGTGACAGTCTTATCAGTTGAAAACTGATACTAGGTCACCGATTGCGTGACCACCTTCTTGCCGTTTCCAAGTGAAAACCACGCCGCGCTGTCGATAACAAGGAAAACCGTGGTATGAATACTAGGCTTTAGAGACGGTCTTTGCTTGAACAGTGAGCGTTTTGCGGAAGGCCATTGCTTTCTCTTTTTTGTGGTCGCCAGTAGTCGCGCGGTGTCTGTGTCAGTCTTCGTGCAGGGAGGAAGAGTCGTTGGCCGAATAAGTCGCGCGGCGTGCGTCATTCCGAATTCTATCAGCCACTTATCCTCGCGGGTACAGTTGACAATAGCCACATCGTTGTCTAGACTAACAGCGACAGCGTCACAACAACGCATCACGTGCTCGAAAAAAAGCATCAGCAGTGCACCGTTACGCATTACCGACACTTCGCTGCCGCTCAACCACCATCAGTTACACGTGGGCTAAGGATACTACGAGAAACACCCGGTTTCTACACAGGCTCGAACCCGCGCCCTCGGACTACGAGGCAGACTTGTGGTCCTAAAGACTACATGCGACGGGGATATGTCTAATCGGAATGAGGATGCTGTCCTCGCTTCTTTAATCCATAAACGACTTGTTTTACTTAGTCACTTGGACGAGTTAGAAGAGCGCGGGATGACCACATGACGCTTCTATCTCGTTCATTTCTCGGGGTGTTCGAGTTTATTAGTTTCCCCTGTCTGTACAGTTTTCTGTATAAGTCGCTTTTCCAATGCTCCCTATGGCTAATTTATATTCAGTGCCGCTAGGGATGCCTTTTTTAGCTTTCCATTAGACTCTTTTCACCAAAGATTTTAACATGCCATGTTTTCTCACTGCTTTGGTGGCGTTGAATACTCGTACTCAAAACCAAAGTGTCATCTGTCATGTGATCCCCTCCGAGAACCAGAATATCTTTTGATCGGATGACAGCATATTATTTATATGACAACCTGCGCTCACCACTGCTGGACGTGTTCTGGAGCAAGTCCCTTGCTTTACTTATTTAGGGAGTTGCATCACGGCTGGTGACGGTGTTGGAGATGAAGTCTCACAACGGATTGCATTCATCAAACTGAGACACCTATGGCATCATTGTGATGTCAGTCTCAAGCTCATGGGCAGGGTGTACAATGCTTCTGTCCGTGCAGTACTCTTGTACAGCTGTGAGATAGCCTATTCGCTCGGAAAACATGAAGCGGCTGTCAGTCTTCGACAATCGCTGTCTACGAAGGATTGATCGGGTGTGGTGGCAATACCACGTAAGCAACGCAGAGCTGCGAGACCGCGTGCATGGAGCGAATAGTGCCAGTTATTCTCCGACATCGCATGCGTTGGCTCGGGCACGTTCTGCGTATGCCAGTCCATCGCCTTCCACTTCGAGCGCTATTTGCACTCCCAGGGAGCGATTGGAAAAAGTGCCGCGGTGGACAGCCAATGACGTGGAGAAGGAGCATGAAGAAGGCAACCTCAAATTTGGCGGCAATCGGACCTGTCCGTCCTCCAGGTTGGGGACCACGAAATGCTGGATCGCAGTGGTTGGAAACACTAGACGTCATGGCCCGCAACAGACCTCAGTGGCGTCAATGTTTTTCAGCCAGTATATCCCCCCTTTAACGCACACAAAAACTCACAAAACAAAAACAACAATACAAAATGGCGTGTGTCAAACCAAAAAAATCGTTTAAAATTTTTTACTCGCAGTTCGTGTCTATCTTCTTCACTTTTTTCTTCTGCCATGGTTCTGATGACACAATGTCTGTTACCAGACTGTGCATATATATATATATATATATATATATATAGAGAGAGAGAGAGAGAGAGAGAGAGAAATAGAAAGAGGAGTAGTAGGGGGAGTTGTATGGTATAGGTAGAAATTCGTCACATCTAGACACACTCAGACAGCCACCACACGCCCGGAAAACCATTGTACGCGCGTTTCATCCTTTCGGGAATCGTCAGCAGTGCGCATTCCACCGGACGCTGGTAGGGCTCGAACCCGCAACTCGACTGTTGCCAATCGCTTGGTCCTCATCCTTACTCATTCCTACTACTCATCAATGAATGGTGTTGACTTGGGTACGTGCTGCGTATGACCACGCTCCGTTTATTCAAAATGGTCTTGTTCGCTGCATGCATGATGGTTCAAAGATCAAGGGGGGCTGGAATCCACTTGACGTTGGGAACTGGCGTTGATGCCTACTAGACAACGCTACTGGTTGGAGTCCACGCTTCCCGCGTCATGCATTGCTCGCGATTTTATAGGACGTGGCTTGCAGCCGGCGCTAGTACCGCGTCTACCGTCCCCTAGTCGAACTACTTGTTCACTTAGAAACTGGGTGTATAGTTAATTATGACACGGGGCATGTAGAACCGCAACGCTTATCTCACCGATGCCTTCTTGTCTTCACATGATAACTAGTTGCTTATGGTCGTGTTGACATGTGGGCGCTTTGCCCATGAATTTTTTAGGGAACTTAGTTTTAGCGTCATTTTATTTCCCTAGCCTCCTGACTGATGTTCATCACTAAAGCCAAGATCATACAGCAGCGAAGCATCTATTCAAATTACTGATGATAATCCGGGCATCGATTGGTCCCCTGACCTTGCGTATATGCATTGCCTAGTGGAGTGAGGTCTAGTTGTACTTCAAGCTCTGGCACCATGAATAACAGTAGAAATCCCTTTTTATTTTAACTCATTGTTCAACAAAATTAAATGATAAGGCTACCTAAACATAGGCTGCGACATCTCATTTTCCAGCCTGCAGGATCGTTTCGCTGCGGTTTCCGGTGAAGTCAAAGAAACTTCTCAGTGAACTAGGGCGATCTTAGGTTCGAGGCACGTTACAACACGAGTAGCCGTTGACAATGGAACTGCTCTCTATTTGTGTCTATCGCTGAGCTTTTACTGAAGATTGCTAACTGTTGCACCGTCGTCCATTGTGTCTGAAGTTCTTGCCGCTCAGGTGCCTCCAACGATGAACTCACGGTTGCGACAAACGCTGGCTAATTTACCTGTGTTCCAACGTAAACCTAGATGTTTCTTCCAATGGAACGCTCTGAGGAATTCGGTTGACCTAATTGCACTTCCATATATCTGACACTAGGAAACATTCAAGCTGGTTGCGTCATACATTAGAGTGCTAAGCCGTTGTGAAAGTCACTTTTGACGTTAGGATCGCTGCCAGTCGATATTATAGTTAAGTAGGTGGTTGCGATAGGTGAATGCTGGTGCACGAGTTTACGCCGCGAAGCGGACCACACGCATGTCTGACAAATTCGGTTCGTCATCGACGGCACAGGTTACCGGTCGGCCCGTAGCCTAAAGGTAACGAGCTTGTTTTGTCCTCTGGCGGCGCTGGTTCGAGTCTGCGTAGGGTCAGGGCAACCCTCACATTACCCTTAGCCAACGTGCGACTGGCCTTGATTGCGCGGCAGCGAAGCGTCAGTACTACTGATGCACGGGTTACTATGTGGCAGAGAGCAGGTGACGAAATCGGTCCGTCAGCAACAGCACGCGTTACTATGTGGTTGGCGTGAGCTGACGAAATTACTCCGTCAGCGTCAAAGTGTGTAAGGTTACGATTGGCCTGTCTTGCAAGCAGCCAAATACAGGATGCGGCGAATACGTGCGGACGTCGGTAAACAGCTGATCCTCAGTCCACCGAGCAACGTACAGTTGGATTGGAAGACAGAGACGAGGAGGTGTACAACCTATAAACACAACCTTTTATCAGTCATCACTATACTCCGGCCTGACAAGTCTTGTCTTCTGTTTCCCACTGATTGGCTTGAATAGAGCACTTGGCAGAGAACAGAGTCAGGAGCGTTACAACTGCCTTTGTCGACTTTTAACCGAACCCATCTGTTGTTGACCGTGGTTGCAGGTGTATCATCTGCGTATAATCGGCCTAAGAAAGCCTTTGAAACTACTTCCCCACTACCACACTGTATCTCCCCCCGTTATCTTATTGATACGATCATCGAATCAAAGACCAAGATTAGGAACCGTATAATAAAACCCCTCTTTTTTCTTAGGTTTTGTAATTCCAGCCGTGTGTTCCGAGTTACCATGCAGTCTCTATTGGTACTACGGTATTCCTTAAAGCCAACCTATTCACTTGCGCAGTCGAAAATCATCTGCTGACAGTACTCCCTAGTGTTCATTCCTCTCTCTATCTCATTCCTGCTGCATATACCTATTTCTTAGATTATCCAAAGAGAAGCTGTTTTTTCTCATGCTATTTTTCTTGTCCTAATGGTGACTGAGTAGTCCGGGTGCCTGAAATGCAATCTACGGCCTGCCGACTCAAACTTCCATAGGTGTGGGTCACCTCGCGGTATTCCAGCCCACTTACAACCCATAGTCGCTGCGGGGCAGCAAAATAATACTACCATTCGGTGCAGTACTGATGCTTATATTTCCTCCTGTAATTGTTGTGTGCCTGCGTCGTCTTTCAGTTTGAATACTCCACCTCGTCTCCGGCCTATTGACTTCCCTTGGAGTTTACCTATGGTTCATTTTCCAAACGCACACAAGATAGTGTCGTTTTAACTATTTTTATAATCTAGTGATGTGTGTATTCTTTCCGGTTTTGGTGATGCCGACTCGATGAGCAGAACTGCTTACTGCTCCGGAGTTGCATACGGCGGAAAGGCTGCAGAGAATGGCTGTATCTGCGTGGTCCGACTTCAAGTTTCCAACATCACCGTGTCGTTTTTGCTTCGGTGCACGCTTCTACCGATTGCGGCTCTGATAGCATCCACGATTTCTATCGATAGTCATCATTTCTGGTCCATTCGAGCAGACGTATGGATATGGTGTTAGTTGTGAGTGGTATGTAAGGCTGCAGCTTATGCGGCTCCGAACAGTGTCTAGGAGACCTTTTTACGATAAGCAATTGTCATATTGACCAAGTGAGTCGATTAAACCAATCACGCACGCAAAAACTTAGTGTTGGTGTCAGTCTTCCCGCTATGACGTTTCTGTTTCACAGCCTAGCTTGTTAGTCCAACTGATATGGCTCTATACCTTACTTTGTCCGTCAACTGCAATTCGTTGTAACCACATTACCTGTTTCAGCTGGATTACCTGCTATCTCAGCGCTTCCATACATTGTTGCACTGTATGGGCATACAGGAATCTGTTCTCTTTTTGAAGTGCAATTCCTTCTTCCCACCCTCACTTACACTGGCGTCCATGATCATCTAGGTACCTGCAAAAAGCTTTCAAGTTTGCGTCGGTCCATTAAGGGTATTTGCCGTCTGACGCGATTCTCTTACTTCTCTCTCTCTCTCTACTGTCGAGCGCATATCCTTCCGCAAGCTTCTGGGAGGAACATGCCACTTGGAAACAAATAAATGATGATGAAGCAGATAGGTATCGGTAGTTGGCTGCCCTAAAATACTGCATTCCACGATTTGTTTCGACTTTACTTAATCTCGTCAGGTAGCTATGGCAGACATGGAAACCGGGACCATTTGGAGGTTCGTTGAGACTCTACCTCTATGGCCACCGGGTCACAACAGGCAACGCTTGGCGCAACGGTTAACTACTGATTGTAGGGTCACTTTGAAGTACTCCTTGTGCAGATGGATTGCGACGCGCAAATTCAATATGGACTTCGAACCCCATCGAATTGAATCTTGGCCAGTTCGATCACTGGGGCCGTAGCTGATAAAACAGATAGATATTGGGTGTTGCCCGCCCGGAAACATTGCACCACACGGCGCATTTCGACCCCAATTGATCTCATCAGGTATAAATAACTGGTATCGAAGCCGGGACCATCGGGATGTTAGTTGGGACCGATGTAGTGCCCATACCTTAGTGGAAGTTCTGTTTATGTACCTCTGCTTTCTCTCATGGTATACAGATAATCCGTTCTCAACCGCATTTTTGTTTTTCTTTTCACCATCCTAGTCACTGGCTCACCGCGCCGAATCGGTGCAACATTTGTATGATTCCGCACAAGATCGGCACTGCTTACGTGACGACGACGGTGTGCGTACGTTGGTGAGTCAACCTCAGTTCAAAGCTGGAAAATCCAAACGACTGTGGAATGAGCTTTTCAAAGTGAGTGCTGGTTTCTGACCTCTGCTTTGACTTTACCTCTTGTTTCGATGCTGGTTAGAGCAGCGTATTCCTGCAATGCTTTTAAAACTGTTGAATCGTGTTATTTGTTGTCGACATCATCTTTATTTCACCGCACCTTCAGCACACGTTTGTAACAATGACATGATCATACGTCCTCTCTAGGGACTAGATCACGTCCGTTTAGTGACTCCCGATAACATGTTACTCTTCTTATTTATTTGAAAGTCTCTAACGCCAAACTTGTTCCGAATCAAGCCGCTATGTTATAAAATTTATTGTATCTGAGTTGGGAAATGGTGAGCTTCAACCACCAAAAACAAATGTGTAAACATCCAATATCACGTGAGGATAGTTGGATTGTAGGGCAATTCGCTACAAGCACATGATCAATACAGCTACCTCTGATCTATGGATTAGGTCATGTCGGACAAGGCTGCTGACAGCACGCGCTTTTCGCTTATTCGCTGTACCACCACCACCAGCCATCATTAAAAACGTTAGCTAGAGGTAAAATAAACCTCAGCTACTGTGCCGCAATACATAAGAAGCAAAAAGTACATGCAACTGGGGCACCCCAGCTGAGCCACCAGTAACGGATGGGCATCGTTTCGGACAGCTACCAGCCGGCTATGGGGCCCCAAAAATGCGCTCTATTATGCCTAGGAAATGTTCTCGTAGTTAGAGAAGGGATAAGGAAACACGGCACAAACGCCACTGAGGTCTGTTTCTAGCCATATCAACAAGTGTATTCCGGCAAATATGTTCGTCGCTTTTTCGACCCTAACCAGGGGGCCGAGAGGCTCTAACGGTGGCCAACTTCGAACTGACGGCCTTCATTTGACCAAGTTATCGATCGGTCTCCCCTGCTCTCCTTCCATCCAGACCCCGGTCGCGCAAACAACGCACGTCGCGAGAGTTGGTAGGCTGGCATGCGCAACACGGTCCAGCCATCGGAGCCTGGTGTGTGAAGTAACTGTGCCCAGCGGTTCACTTCTTCTTGAGCCATAACCAGGGCATCGATCACGATTGTTGCTTGCACGGTGTTCCCACCAGATATGAACTAAACTGCGGAGGCACCAGTTGTCGAACGTAACTAATCTCTATGTCGGCCGATCTGAGGGGCCAGGTTTCACAACCTTAGAGTAGGGTCGAGCGTACGGTTACATTGTACACTATCGCTCAGGAAGGGAGTGAAGTCGCGCCGGCACCATACTGAAATTAGAGAGCGAGAAGCTATAAATCTGTGTTGTTGTTGTTGTTGTTGTTGTTGTTGTTGTTGTTGTTGTTGTTGTTGTTGTTGTTGTTGTTGTTGTTGTTGTTGTTGTTGTTGTTGTTGTTGTTGTTGTTGTGGTAGTTAGATCGGGCACCTGTGCGGAATCACGCCGCTGATATTGCGCGGTGGCAGCATATTACAGCTGCACTACATCTTATCAGGGTGCGATATGCTCCCTATACCTGTTATCCGCAATGCGGGCGTCAGGTAATCTCTTAAATTCCGGCACGGATTTCACCTCAACTACTGTCTCCGGCAAATTGTGCCCCTATCTTACCACTCGACTCTCGAAGCATAGAGGGTGAGCGATGCGCTTTAAATGCGGTACCACTTGTTTGTACTGGTGTCCGTGTGTGCTGCTTGGTACGCGAACTTGCAGCAGCAGCCTCAAGATAGGAAAGTGGTCCAGGTGCAATACCCGGTGCGTCATAATGTGATCAACTCGAAGCCGACGATATAACAGGGTATAAAGCCCTAGTCTCCTACATCGGTCTTCACCCGACATACCCTGTAAACTGGAGATGAGACTGGTAGCTACATGCTGAATCCGTTCCAGTTTCTGCACCTCACGTATTGTGCTCGGACACTAGGCGGGTGAGCAGTACTTAAGCACTGGTCTTACCATAGAAGAAAACAGACGAGTGATAATCTCTTCAGACCATTTGCAGAAGCTGCGTCTAGGTACCCAAAGCAGGCGCACAGCCTGTTCGTGTTGGCGACGGACTTCAGATCACAACGTGAAAGTACGCCTAGATCCTTTACGGAGCTTGTGGGATGCAGCGGTTGGCTGGCTATGGTGTACATACGCCTATTACCATCCTTCCCCAGACTCATAAATGACGAATTGACCGGGTTGACCGGCAGATCAACTTCTGCAGACCACAGGGACAGGCGGTCGAGATCCTGCTGAAGGACGTCACAGTCGTCGGGAGAATCAACAACCCTCCAAATCCTCAGATCGTCTGCAAACAATGCGCAGGGCGACAGAAGAAGCTGAGGTACTTTGTTGATGTGGATCAGCAACAAAATGGACTCTAGTACTGTGCCTTGGCTTACGCCGCTAGTGGGCGGGTACCATTCCGTTAGATGATCATGCACCTGTACCCGCCATTTTCTCCCAAGCCACTGGCTGGCTTGCCGAACATCCTCGTGGTACCAGCTGGGTGGTTCGAGATTATCCAGTTCCAGCGGATGGTTCGGCGGCAGTGTTCCAGAAAGTGGTGGGTTTCCGCCTGGTAAGCCTTCTCCCTATAAAAAACCACAAATGTCCGTTTAACAACACTGAGACGTGGCGGATTTGACTTGCCTCCAACTAAATTCACTGCCCCTTGCCTGTTTCTGAACGGCATTGCCATACAATGGTGTGTTTGGCCGCTGGTCCTTTGCGGTCCTAAAGGCGTATGAACCACTTGTTTGATCACCGGCTCCCAACGGGTCGCGATGCCCTCATATCGTCCTGCTGACTTGTAGGTCAAATCCTGGATCAAAGGCTCGGGGTGAGGCCCCCCTAAGATAACCCTCTACTTGGGCTTGGGTAACCGGGTAGTATCATGCCCACTGACGAATCATGGATGGATTACACTACTGCTTTCACTCTTGCTTTGTTAACTGGCTATACTGTCTCTGCTGCTCAGCATCTGCTCACAGATCATCCCACGTTCCGTTCCTTAACTGAACTCATTTCTTACCCGATCACCATTAATCACAGCTCACTGGCCCCATCTGACAGAGGTCTGAGCCAAACTTTTGGTGTTCGTTGCTCGGTGGTCACAACGTTTTCACACTTCACCGAAGCGCAAGCTTTCTTTCGACCTGATTCTCCATTCCGCCTCGCAGCGTTCAATGTGCACACTCTGATGCAGTTCGGACGACAAGCGTGCCTGGCCCGCACCCTTGAGACACTCGGTGGACATCTGTTGCCTTTCCGAAACCAGATTGCAAGACGCCAGTATCGTAATCACAACGACCTCTCCGGCAAACCCTGACGTCAAATACCACTTGCTCCTTTCCGGGGACCCAGACGCCGCCGCTTCTGGTCATGTTGGTGTTGGAGTTGCTCTAAGTGACAGGGCTGAGGCAGCTTTGCTTGACTGGATCCCAGTCAACAGTCGGCTATGTGCAGTCGGACTACGAGATTCATATAACTTACGTACGCGTCAAGATGTTACGCGTGCCTTGTTTGTCATCTCCTACGCTCCTACAGACTGTAGCCCGGATGCATTCAAGGACTCCTTTTACCAACAACCACATGACCTGCGTTCCTCAAAAATGTCTGACATTGTCATTCTTGCCGGAGGTTTCAACACACGGGTTGGCCGCCTCACATCATCATTATACATGTCAGCTAGAGGTGGGGAAACATCTCCGCTATTGTACCGCAATACATAAAGGGAATACATACATGCATACAATACATAAATGAAAAATAAATACATTTACATGCCAGCTGAGCTACCAGCAACGGATAGGCATCGTTCCGGTAAGCTACCAGCCAGCTACTAGGCAAAATGAAAAAAGAATTATGTTTTACCCTACGAAATGAGATCGTAGATGGAGGGGGAGGCTAAAAGGGATGGGGAGGGACAAAGAAACTCACAGCACGAACGCCACTGAGGTCGGCTCCTTGCCATATCAGCAAATGTATCCAGCCAAACGTGTTCACCGTCTTTTGGACCCCAACCAAGTAGCCGTAACGCTCCAACCGAGGCTAGCTCCGAAGTGACGGACTTCATTCCTCTGGACCAAGTCATCGCTTGGCCACCTCTCCTCTTCTTCCATCCACACCCCCGGTGAGCAAACAACGCATGTCGAGGGAGTCGGTGGGCTGGCATACGCAACACGTAGCCGAGCCATCGGCGCCTGGTGCGTGAAATGACGGTGCTGAGCGGTTCAGTTCCTTTTCTTGTGCCGTAAACAAGGCGTCGAACACGCGGTGTTCCCACCAGATGTGAGCCAAACTGCGAAGGCACCGATGGTCGAACGTAACTAGCCTCTTCAGGTCCGCTGCTTTAAGCGGCCAGGTTTCACAACCGTACAGTAGCGTCGAACCTACGGCTGCATTGTACACTCTACCCTTCAGGGCGAGAGTAATGTCGCACCGGCGCCATAAGTGGCGAAGGTTAGCAAAAGCACTTCGAGCTTTTGCTATACGGTTCGTGATCTCGTCTTCGATCCCAAGGGCGCTGATACCACTTCCCAGGTAGAATTTCTGAACGACTTCTAGCTGGTCCCCACCAAGGGTCAGCGCAGGAGGCGATCCTTGCCAATCTTGGAGGAACGCTTTGCACTTCGATGGTGCAAAGCAAAGTCCGAAGCGGCTGACAGCCAGTGCTAATCTGTCCAGTGTCGCTTGGCACGTCTGGGAGCTGTCACAGATGAGGGCAATGTCATCTGCATACTCCAAGTCAGGAAGTCGTTCTCCTGGGAGTAGCTCCACACCTTCAAAGTCATGTCCTGTAAATGCAATCTTCATGACTTCGTCAATCGCAAAGTTGAAGAGGAAAGATGACAGCGGGCATCCTTGTCTCACACCGCTGGAGATATTGAAGGGTGGCGACAGCTTGCCGTAAGCCCTCACTCTGCCCGTGCTACGCGCATATAATGCTTGGATAATATTAACATACTTCTCGGGCACACCTTTCCTTAGTAGACAATTCCAAAGGGCTCATCGATCAACCGAATCGAAGGCACCTTTGATGTCGAGGAA